TTCTTACACTACCGTGTAAGAAAGACTGGCACCAGTCTTTCTCAAGGACCACTTTTACCTGGAGGAGCTAGAGGGCGCTGCCACCAATAGTGGAGAAACAGAGTGCAGTGGAAGGAGGGGGAATTTGGAATTCTGGGAATGTGCAGGTGTGGCGATAAAGACACATGTCCCTGGTTTCTTTACAGCTGGTTCCAGGCACTGGGGTCCCTACGCTCATTAACAAGGGAAAGCGATGACACAGACCTGCTAACATCCCCATGGTGGATCCGATTGCTGCGTGTAAGCAAATGAGAGGTGAGGATATGAACAGGGCCACGAGGAAAATGCCTCCGGTCCAGGGGTTATCGCAGCCGTACACTTGGCCGATCCCAACGGGGATGGCTCTCAAAAGCTGTGGAGACAGAGTCACATTATTAGGGAAGCCAAAGAGATGACTTCAACCTTAGCTCCAAGATTCAGCACCAACACGTACTGCCACTGGATTCCAAGGTGACTCAAATAGGTCAACTCTAAGAGGAACACAGAAGGATCATCTTAACTTTGAGCTCTTGGAACACCCAGGGGTCAGGATGTTGAGTTTCCTTCATTTAGGAACAGGAGGGTAAGACTCTTATCTTCCTTGTGAAGAGAAACTGAAAAACTTTCACTCGAGGGCATTATTCATTAGCAAAGCAATGGATTTCTGATCAAAACTTTCATAATGTTTTTCAAACCAAATAAGATGTCAAGAAGGCTAACTAGAAGATGGGAAATTTACTTGTGTATTTCCAAGAACCACACTTCTGGGTGTGGTGACATGAGTCTTGTCTGGCTGATCAACGAGACACAGAAGGGGCCTGGAGAAGGTGGCATGTCCGCCATCTGCTCTCTTTGTTGGTTAACCTGGGGTACCCTGCTTGACTCTGTTCTCCAGGTATTTCGAGGTCCAATGGGACTCGAGAGTGACAGAGCATTCAAGAAAGTTGGAAACCTTGTAGGCACTTGCACAGATGCCCTGGAGTCAGAGAAGAGGATACTAGGATGCAGGCTTCCCTGGTGACTGCCACTGGGTCCTTTGTCTTGGAGGGTTTGGCCAAAGGCCCTTGGTACAGGGAAGTGCTGAGTGGAATTGGCTTGGGCCACACTGGCAAGTGCTGGGTTTGCCTGCCCCTGGGACAGTAAGCAGGGGAGAAGCAGAATCTTGGGGTGAGTTTGTGTATCTATTATGGCAAGTCTCCTGTCAATCTAAGCCCTCTGAGAAGACTGTCCCTGTGGGTGCCAGGGGACGGAGAACTTGCAGCTCATGGGCTTCACACCTAGTGAGAGGATACGGAGACAGGAGCACAGGCCTAGTGGGCTAACCCTGCAGGCCAGTACCTTGCACTACAGGACGGAGAACAGAGTAGGAGCTCTGGCATGGCCATGCAGGGGCAAGGGGACAGGTGACAGAGTTTGACACAGAGGCAGTGGTACTGGGCAGTTTGATCCCTGCATAGTTACCCTAGATGAGGAGACTTTCTAATGGCCATGAGAACAGAGGAACTCAGGGAGGCTCAAACCTGTTGGCAGTTTTAGACCCTTGCTCTGACATTGACCACATATTTTTCAGAAACTGGACTCTAATTAGAATTGTCAAGAAGATCCAATAAATGAATCATTATCATAATTCATTCAGTTAGCCAGAAAGGTGTTTCTTAAGGAATGAGCACCACAAATTGGCTCCCCCTGCCTTGAGTTTTGGGTTTCTAAATTATGTATACAGGATTCTTCTTCTTTTTTTTTTTTCATTTCTATAAAGTGATGAAAATATTTTTCCAATTGAAAATGTGGTGCAGAGAATGTAATATCTTAAACTTGCAACTTCTGACATCATCTCATAACACACTGCTTGAGTAATTTTGCTTCCAAAAGAACTGAATTGGGAAAATACCATGACTGGGAAATCTGGGGAGCTGAACCCCAACACAGCACCTCTTCTCGCCTTCTTTTTCCAAGAAGGTCCTTGGAAAAAACATAACAATCAACAAAACGGGGCTACCACAAAGGTCTCCTTTGCTAACTAATGATGCTTCTTAGTGCAAATGGAGGGCTCTTTTGACCCATGTTGTGGAATGTGGAGAGACACCAGGCTTCATTATATCTGAAAGTTCTTTCAACAAGCCCAAGTGGCTTTGTGGTGATGAATGACCAATAATGAAGTTTCAGGGTGACTGTCAGACTGGGGGGCCTTTTAGCGTAATGGAAAGTAGGAGGCCTAGGAGAAAACGTGCCTGGTTAGATAAGAAGGCTGATGGGCATGTTTCTCAAGCTGATTTAGTGCTTTTAGTGTAGCTTCTTATTCATTATCTTGGCAGACTTCCAGAGGTCAGCATTTTATACAGAATACTTGTTAAAGAGGAAAAAAAAAACAATTTTGAAAGCTCTGTTATATATAGTTCATATTGGGGGAACACCTGCGCTTTAAAACATGAGCCAGCCTCAGAGAGCAAATGAAATCAGCTCTGGAGGTTATAACTGTGACTTTTTAAGCCAATACATGGTAGCATAATGTGCACATTTTTAATGATTCAATGATATCGAGGGAAGAAAAGACACACTTGCATTAAAATCAGAGTAAAGCATCAAAAATACTTTTTTTTTTTTGGTACCCAAGATTAAACCCAGGGTCACTTTACCACTGAGCCACATTTCAAACCCTTCTTTAAACATTTTTAAATTTAGAGACAGGGTCTTGCTGATTTACTTAAAACCTTGCTAAGTTGCTGAGGCTGGCTTTGAACTTGCAATCCTCCTGCCTCAGCCCTCTGAGTTGCTGGGATTATAGGCATGTGCTTCCTACCATGCCCTGCTCCCAAATACTTTTCAACAAAGGAAAAAAGAAAAGAACCCAGGCCTGGAGTCAGGGGTCTGGAGTTTGCTCCTTACTAATTTGCTGTGTGATCTCAGGTGGGTCTCCAAACTTGGCCTCCATTCTGCTCTCTGTATTATAATAGGTGGGACCAGAAATAACCCTTTTAGCCCTTAGAAGGAGGCAAGGAGGGCAGGTCATGAGATGTGTGCAAAGCATGTCTTGGATTGCATAACTGTCAGGAATTGTGTGCACAATACGCAGATACCACTTTGATATTGAGCTTGTACCGACACTGCCTTTCCTCCTTCCATGACACCTACCAAGGGCACCTGGACCTCCGACCAGGTGATGTTGGGCACAGAGGATGCAGGCTGTAGCAGCATCGTGGGGAAGAAGAGGTTGTAGTGGCCTGTGGCTGCCAGGTACAGGGTCACGGCAATGTTGAAGGGCAGCGTGAAGACTGGCAGGTCCCACTTGCTGAAGATGGTGCTCAGCGCACTGGAGAGGATGGGGCTGATGGCAGAAGCACAAGACATGGTGGTCAGGAAGCTGCCTGGCTCCCCCACCGGGCCACACAGCAGCAGGAGACCCCTGCACCTTCCCAGAGAAAAGCAGCCTGCTGGGGTCCCTCCGGAGCATGACTGGCCCTGGGCCAAGGCCTTCCCTGGGCCTCCTCCCTGTGCAGGGTACAGGAAGGGATGCCCACACTCACCTCCAGAAAGAGGGCTTTCTGGGAGAAGTTTTAAAGGACAGGAGTCTCACTACTTCCTCATACAGCTCCCTCCCCAGGCAGGAGGAGAGAGGACAGGTTGGGGGAGCAGTGGGGAGGGACTCACAGTCACTCAGTCATTTAGCTAGTGTTTATTGAGTGGCCAAGCTCACTAGCCTCATGGCCAGGGTGCCCAGTGTTTTCTGGAGGTGAGAGAGGAGCCTGGTGTTCTGAGGGCTCTGCCCCATGGCTGTCCTTCAGCCTACCCCAGTCAGGGTCCCAGGGACAGAGGAAAGCTGTGGGCGCAGGAGGGAGGAGATTGCTGGAAACTGACAGGCCCCCATAGTGTGGTTCTTGCCCTGTGTGGACCTCAGCTTCTTGCTCTGTGCTCTGGCAGGGTTAAGCAGAAACCCTTTTAAATCTTAACAAAAGAAGAAAGGATGGTAGCTGAGACCCGGTGTATAGGTGATCTTGCACATGATGCAGGAGCATCATGTCAGTCAAGGTTTCCATGGGTGTCTCTGACATGCAAGTTCAACAAAAGGCACTTAAAAACGGAGTTTAGATGGGCAGTCATAGGATCAAGGTAAAAAGAACAGTGGCCTTTGGATTTGAACCCATGACCTCAGAACAGACTTACCAAGACATGGACATGATGATGACAGGGAGCAGAAGCCACCAGTAATAGTCGCCTTTGTCTGAGAACACTGCCATCAGCAGCCCCACCAGCACTCCGTTGTAGCCATGGAGTCCTGCTGCAATTGCTGACCTGGGGACAAATGGGGCTGGTGAAGTGGAGGTTTTCCCAGGCCATTTATTTATTTATTTATTTATTTATTTATTTATTTATTTATTTATTTATTTATTTATTTATGTATCAGGGATTGACTGCCCAAAACCTTGGGACCCCTTGCCAACTGAACGTCGTCTCTAGGTTGTCCTTCCTGCACTTAACCACTGAGCCACATCCCCAGCCCTTTTTAATATTTTTATTTAGAGAAAGGGTCTTGCTAAATTGCTGAAGTTGGCTTTGAATCTGTGATCCTCCTGCCTCAGCCTCCTGAGCTGCTGGGATTACAGGCGTGCGTTACCATTCCTGGCTCCCAGGGCCTTTTCCTGCCACATGCTTCACAGGCCATCATTGTGGGAGTGACTGGGTGAGGACACAGCCCTATCACCCCTGCATTTTTCTCTAGAAAAATGTGTATGTCCCAAGGAAATATTGCCTTCAGCTACCAGTGCTCTTCTTCTGAGGGGTTTCTGAGCTGAAGGGTGAGAAGGGGTCCTCTTGGAAGAGTGCCCTCTTGGTCTTACACTTGGACCCTGGGTCTCTGGGGACTTACCTGTCCTGGCTCAGGATGAGGGCTGTCAAGGTGGACACAATGGTGCCCAGGCAACCCGAGATGGCCCACCAGGGGTTCTGGATGAAGAGGCCAAGGACGATGAGGATGCCGCTGAGGGGGTTGTTCACGAACATCACCTGAGACGTGCCCCGCAGCACCCAGTCCAGAAACTGGAACACTGGGGATTTGTCTGAAACGGAACAGGGAGGGACTTGGCAAAGGCTCGGTGTGGAGGTCCCGAGCGAGGCCTGGTGGCCAGGCCCAGGGAGTGTGGGATCTCTCTGAAAATCCAAAGTGGGCTTCTAGGGAGCCAGCCACCTACTGTCAACTGCCACAGAAGAGTGTCAAAGAAGAACCTGGGAGAGCATTGACTGCCCAAAACCTCGGGACCCCTTGCCAGCTGGACGTCGTCTCTAGGTTGTCCTTCCTGCGGTGGGGATTAGGTCCCCTGTGTGGTCTGTGCCTCCCATAAGAGTGGCATAAAGTTTCCAGAAAACTCTCTTGCTTCATAGAGGGTGCCACACCCAGGAGCTGAGCTCAGGGGCATTGCCGGAGAGAATCTATTGACCTGGGAGTCAGTTCTCCTGTATGTCAGCTAGAAGGCATTTTTCTAGAATGCTGCTAACTCCCTAGGATCCCAGCACTACAAATGTTTATCTGAGTGGGACATTTGGGAGCGCAGGACTATGCCATTTAGAAATGAGAGTTTGCACATGTAACTGTACCTGTATTTACATCCCAAGAGACTATGTAACAGCAAATCCTAGCTCTTCTGGAAAACCCTGGATAGAGCTCATTCTAGTCTACAGAAACACCCCCTCAGCCCCCACCATGGCAGTGCATTTCCAGGGGTGGCCAAGGTGACCTTTTAGGTGTAGATCTAGGGCTGCTCTCACAAAACTGTACCTTTAAGTCTCTCTCCGCATTCCTTCATCTCTCCCGTGATGTAGCTGAGGGCTTTGCTGACCCTCTTCCCGCTGGCGGCCATGGAGCTCTGGATCCAGGAAGTCCTGGACGTGCTGGTTTCTACCTTAATCTCGGAGCTCTCCTCCATGGTGTTTAGATCCTGCCCAGGGAGAAGAGATGGGCAAGAGCCTCCTACCACCTGTGGCTTTCACACTGACGTTTGTGGTCCTCAGGGACCTGTTTCTTTTGTTTGACAGGCCACCTCATTTAATGAGGGATGAGAGGACATTTTCATCCTCATTTTGGGGTAGAGGGCTCAGCCATACAGAGATTCTTATTTGCAAAGGTCAAGGTCAAACAGTAGGGTTAAGGTTAAACACAGATGTGTAGAATTTTAAATATACCATACTCTTTCTAGAAGAAATCATTTTCCCTTCTGCATGTCTACTCTTTAAAATTGAACTAACCATGAATATAAAGTTATGAATTTGAATATGTGAAGATTCCATTTTTGAAAATTGGCAGGATCTTATTTCCTAAATTCTTGATTTAGAGGAAATCTGATAAGAGATAATTCAAATAAAAGGAATATGAAAGTTCACAAAGCAAACTGTGACCATTTTATCTAAATGTCCCTACATGTCTGAAAATATGAATTTCAAGAAAAATTTGCCTAAATGAGAAAACCTCCTTGACAGACCTCAGCTCCCTAATCTGCTACAGGCTGTGTGACTGGAAGGCGCTGTCCCTGATTTGGGACATCCTGTACTCACAAGCAGCTCAATGGTGGGCTTCCGGTATGGATAGGGAAATGGCTCTTTGGCTTGTCTCTCCTGGTGTTCGCTTTTTCCAAACACTGAAGAAGGAAGGAAAGAGAATCATCAGTTCGGGCACCTCAGCAGTATTTTAGTACAAGGCTCGAGTCAGACTCTTGGGCATATTGAACCTTCCTTTCCTGGTCTTAGGCCCATTTGGGTCCTCCCTTTGGGAAAAAATGTACATGTTCATGTAAACAGGATGTTTTACAAGGAATATAGCGAGTTCACTGACCCTTGATGAAGAAGCCCCAATGTAGCTCGACTCCTATGTTCATTAAATGAAGGAACAGGAGCCCCGAGGGATGGTGACTTTCCTGTGACCCCTGAAACCAGAGTTCTTTCTCCTACGCCACAAGTCAGTGCAAGAGGAAGGGACTGGATGGGGTTGCCGTCCTTCACTTGTTCCTTATGAAGCAGTAGGCTGCCTGGGCCATGAAGGATCTGGGTTTGAACGTGACTCTGACTCTCCCCAGCTGGCTGATTTCAGGCTGATTGGTCTTTGGTTTTCTCTGTCTCTGTCTCTCTCTTTCTCTCTTATTCTCTATTTTTTGATGTTTGTCTCTGAATTTTAGGCATTTTAATAGATGGCAATTGCTGTTTGGATCAGGATAAGATATCTATGTAGATATCATACACACTTTTGTGTATACTTTTAATTCTAGAAAACTCTTGTAATGTGACTCTAAACATTTTTTGATTATTGAGGACAGCTTATTTTTGCGGATGACCAATTTCAGTAGGGTTTTAGGCACCCTGAATGATGGCCCTTCCAAGTTTCGGTCTTGGTGCTATGGCTCCCTCTTGTGGTCAAGTGTGAGAATGGCAGGCTGGATGCTGCCCTCCCTGTATTTTTGAGACTGCATTGGTGGTTGCCAGTCTGTATTCCTGAGACTTCTGGGTGTAAAGGAAGGGATGTGCCAAAGGGATTGTGTTCCCACTTTTGAAGGAGCACGGGCTGAAAATACCAGTGTGGTAGGGATGTTATGCCACAAAGTTTTGAAAGGAGGAACAGAGAGAAGTTCTATAACTCAGATCATGTGTGATCTCTTGATGAACCCACTGCTTCTGTCTGGAGATTCCTCTGCCTGCCATTCTGTGGCAATTCCCAAGCACTCCATCTCCAGGCTCCTCTGTATGGGATCCCACTCCACTATGCCCCCAGCTCACCATCCCAAGAGATATTAGGAAGGAAGCTGTTGACCTTTTGAGACAATGCTCTTTCACACCATGTCAGGGGCCCCTGTCAAAGACACACTAAAGGGCTTGGGGGCTCTTCAGTTATCTGCAATTCTCTCTCCACCTTGTAAATCTTCCTATAACCTCCCCAGGCCCATTTCTCTGGCCTTGCTGACTTCTGGTGTGCAAGGGTGAGATTAGATGAACTGGAGGAAGGAAATACTGATGCATCTTCAGGGAGGCATGTGTTGTGAGGGGGGAACTATCTGCGGAGTCATCTCTACCCCCTGCAGTGCCTCTGGCCAGCTGCGAAACCTTGGGCAATCTGCTCCCCTCTCTGGGGGTTGGGTGAAGTTGGATTGGCTCGCTGACTTTCCACTAGGTTATTCCACACTGTAGCTGATCTCTCCAGACTCCCCCTGTTTACCAGAACCTGCCTCATCTTCCAGGTCTCTGGCTTCTTCACCTGCTCAGCTTTGGCTGCTCCCCCGGCCCCCTCCTCGCCATTCCCCTCTACCTGTTCCCTTGGCCTTGATATTCCCACCACTGTCTCAGATGAGGCCTTTTCAACTATACTCTCCCAGACCAGTGGTTTTTGAATTGGTGGTAAATTAGAATCTCATAAAGAGCTCTAAAAGACCCAGGCCAGCCCAGCTACTCCTCAGATGAATTAAATTAAAGCTTTGGGGATGGGATACAGGGGACTGCCACATGCAGCCAGGCTGAGACCCCTGGCCTAGCCCTGTGTTAGCCCACAGCCTGGCCCGTAGGTAGGGTGTGTTCAGACCAAGGAAAACGGTGGCTTTGGTCAGTGGTCACATAAAAAGAATGAACCTGACCTTCATGGGTCTCCCCACCACCCTATGAAGCAGGTACTGTCACTGCCCCTGTTTTATTAGAGATGAGGAAGCCAGGGACTGCACACGAGGGGCAGAGGGCTCACACCTTTGCTCCTCCTCCGAATGGACGACCACTCGATGTGGAACACGCTCCTGTGCCTGGGGAGCACAGCCTCAGAGCCCTCCTCGGCCTTCGGGCCTGGTGGTGGTGACTGCTCCCCACTGCCACCTAGCCAGGGGCGAAAAGAGACAGGTCAGCACCTCATTTGGTCCACACCCCTGAGCGCCAAGCAGAGAGCCAGGAAAAACCACACCCAGAAGCTGGGAAGTAGAGTGTGACAGTCTGATCCAGAGTAGTGACAGTCTTTGTATAAAGCACTCCACTGACTGCACGTGGTCCAGAGGCTGCCCAGAGAAGTGGAAAACGTTCACATGGCTACATTTGCACACTGAACTCACTTGGCCCACCTTGAAATGGATAGGTGGGCGATGATATTGCCAAAAGATGGAAAATTGAGACGCGGGATGATTTCTATATCATTCTGTATTAAGCCTTTCAGCCCTCAGCTTCCAATCCATGACAATTGCTATTTCCTTTCCCTATAGAAACCTGAGTTACATCTGTGTCAAGAGATGGAAGAGACAGCCTAAGAGCCATTTAATTGTACCTTAGACCAGCATGAACAGGTGGACCCTGGGCTGACTGCCCAGTCACTACTATTCAGCCAGTGCCTTGGACACACCTGGGCTAGAGAGTTCTAAATGGCTGTGTATTACCTCACCTGGGTGCTTTTAAAAAATGCATGAGCCTTACCCCAGACTAATTTAAAAAAATTAAAGTTTTTAATGCCCATGTATTTAAAAATGGCTCTAATATGCAGCTTGGACTGAGAAGTATAGGTTCTTGCTACTCAAAGTTTGGTCTCCGGACCAGCATTAGCATCAGCTGTGAGCTTGTTAGAAATGCAGAATCTCAGGTCTTACCCCAGATTGATGGAATTAGAATTTGTCTTTCAACAAGATTCCCCAAGTGAGTTCCATGCACATTAAAGTTTGACAAGTATCAATCTATGGGGAACCAAGTGCCTTGAATATGTTACCAGCTCCAAGAACCACTGTTCTGTATCATATGGTCTTCAATTTCCATTCTACGAGTAGGAGAGCACTCTTACCACTAGGAACAGATTTTTCAAGGCATGGTCTGAGAACTCACAGCATGGAATCACCTGGGTGCTTTGTTAAAATGCATGTGCCTAGGCCTGCTCAAGGTCCGTTTACTGGAATATTTGGTGATTCCTAGGGCATGCAAGTTTAACACACTCTGCTAGAGATTCTTAAGTATACCAGAATCACATTCTCCAGTAGCTGCCTGGGAGAGTGGAAAACATTGACACTATTACATTTGCACATTTTCTAAGTGAACACAGTTGGCTCTTTCAATGGTACCTTGAAACACACAGGATAGAAAATGATATTGCCAAAAGATGAAAAATTGAGGCTAAAGATGATTTCTCCTCCTCCTCCTCCCCCTCGTCCTTGTCCTCCTCCTCCTCCTCTTCCTCCTCCTACCCCCCCCTCCTTTTTTTTTTTTTTTTTTTGGTATGGTAAATTGAACTCAGGGACACATGAGCACTGAGTATTCTGTAGCAACCTACAAATGGGGACTCTTTCCTTTTCCCTGCATCTTCAACGTCCAGTCTGGTCCATGGTCCAACTTCATGGACATCACTAGGGAGCCTGCCAGGAATGTCTCATCCCCAACCTGCTGGGTTGAAATCTGCTTTCAAGCAAGAAACCCCGCTGATTTGGAGATATATGGAAATCTGAAAACACTGGTCTCCATCACACTGTTCTAGGGACAACTTTATTTATTTATTTATTTTAATTGTAGTTGGACACCATACCTTTATTTCACTTATTTATTTTTATGTGGTGCTGTGGATCGAACCCAGGTCTCGCACATGCGAGGCGAGTACTGTACTCCTGAGCCACCACCCCAGCCCCTCTAGGTACAACTTTAACAAAGCTCAGAACACAGGAGGAACAAAACCTCAAGAGTCTGTGGGTATGCATGAACAAAGAATGAGGCCTTGCTTAGTCTTTTAGATTGAAAGGTAACAAAAGACTGTCCCTTCCCTCTGGCTCAGGTGGAGAAGCAGTTACTGTTAGGCATCCTGTGCGTGGGTCAGCCTTCAGCCTCATCCCAAGCTGGGGAGTGGAAGTCAACTCTGCACCGCAGAGACACCCGGAAGTCAGCTTGCCCACAGACACCTCTGCAGACAGGGTTCATGCAGGGTGAGAATGAAAGGGGCATCCTTGCACCACCTGACAAAGCAGGGTGTTCTCCCATAATATCAATCCCCGGCGCACATCTGTCAGACTGGGAGGGCATCTCTGTTGGACCATTGCTTCTTGTTCTTCGTATAACGAGTGCTGGCCACCCAGCCATCTCCTTGGCAGAGCTATATTTTAACCTTAGCATCATAAACACAGAATTGAAGGGAATTTCGGCATCACAGCCCGCCTCCCCTGTCTAAGGAAATCAACTCTCCAGGACACACAGCTCATTAATCTCAGCAGAGCTGCGAATCGCATCAGGTCTCTTGATGCTCAGTTTGCTGCTCTCTCCACCCAGGGCTGGCTGCACAGTGCAGCACAGACCTGTCTACCTTCCTTTTTACCCTGGGACCTGGTCCTGGATATCAGAGGGCACAACACATGCTGCCTATGAGCCTGTGTTATTTTTCATACGTACAAAGAGGGTCTTTCAGTTTAACAAACCAAAGCAACATTTATCCAAAAGTCTTGTCAATCCAAAGGGAAAATTGCCGGTTGTTAAGATACCCTAGATTTTGTTCACTGAGTTATATACTAGCAGAGGTAGGGCGAGCTGGGCTTGCTGGCCGAGGTGCGGGAGAGGCTGAGCTTATCCATCAGGCAGGGCTTACATGAAGCAGAGCGCGTACCCCCCACCCTAAAGAACCCTCCCCCACCATAATTAAGCTTCTTCTCTTGTCAGAAAGACTTTTACAAGACTGTCAACAGGATTTCACAGGAGTTCTGCAGAGAGCTCAAATGTGGCTTGAAGCTTCCTCTCTCTTGTAAATGCCAGGTTTGTAGACAAAACGTGTGAAACCTCTCTCTAGCCTAAGAATATGGGACAAAGAGTAACTGTTATGTTCCCACCCACTCCCACTGTCCTGTAACTATCCCACTGAGTAGAAATCTAAAAGAATTTCCAGACTTGGGATCCAGAGATTTTTAGGAATCAGCCCCTCTGGACCGTTGCAGCTTAAATAAACCTGCTTCCTGAGACTTCCTCTGGCATCTAGCCTCATCTGTCCTACATCATACAGGTGGCTGCAGAAGCCTGGTGGCTCAGCCTCTGTCCCGCTGGTCTGCATATTTAGCAGCTCCGATTCTGTGCCTGCTCAGAACCCAGAAGCCATGAAACAAAACAACATAAAAACAAAACCTCAGCCAAACAAACACTAAGAGGCACCTTTGTCATATGGGTGATATTGAAGTGCTGGGCTGCAGCCCTTCAGGCTGTGTCTGGGAGGGTTGAGATTGAGAGGTGGGAACAAATGCCACAAAGAAGATTGGAGATGAAATAACCAGCTTCCCAAGGCTGGCAAACCCTTAAAGTGAAGGTGATAGCAATTTACTGCTGGCCTCTGGGACAAATTCTCAAGACTTTCATAATGGATAAAGGCAATTTCAAGAATATTATGAGCATGTCTATCAAAAGTTCTCGAAATGAGATGTACCATTGGTGTGGTGGGGAAAAAAAGAAAACAACACTGACTGAGAACCAGAAGTCACTAATTTTTGCTTGGCCTTTTGCAAGTCATGTGACCTCACAGTTTCCTCAAGTGCAGGCATGCAATTCTCCCTGGAAACTGTGCTCAGGCTCTGTCGGGCTGACCTTGCAAATCCTACCTGTGAATGCGACAGACATCTCAGAGGCATACCTGCCATTTCTTTCTCATTCTCTAATAAAATGAGATAATGCTTGCAAAATGCTCTGGGAAATAATTTGGCAGTGCGTCTCCCTTGGGGACCTCTTTAGGGAGGACAAACTCCCCTCAGATGGCACTGGAAGGATCCATCCTCTGTCTCAGGCTCCTGGTATTTTACACCTACCTGTGCTGCCCCTTACCTAGCTGAGGGTTAATTATTTGTTCCCGACTGTCACCTTCATAGGGTGGTGAGTCCTTGACAACCAGGATCATACTAACTTCCGTTAGCATCCCTGGTACTTATCAGGTATACCTTAGGCACCCAGAAGTGTTGTTGAATCTGCAAATTTTAACTTCTGAATAGTATAGTCGTTGGATACCCCAGAGTATGAATACTATTTTAAAAATAATATTTCTTATGGCAAATGTTAAATGATTGATAAATATTGAAATAGAGGTGGAAGTCTTTTGGAGGTTGACAGAATTTATAGTTGAGTTGTGTAGGTTTTGGAAGTTGAAGGATGAGGGATGACTATTTTGAATTAATTGGATAAAAGGATGGAAGTTTATAGATGGTGGATGATAAAATGGTCCTATAAGAGGGGCTGGAAGAACTCAGTTCATGAGAGAGAAGAAAACAGATCAAGGAAGGTCGAGATCTGGCTTGATGCAATTTGTTTTGATCACCAGATGTTACATGGGTTTATTCCATCTAGCCGTGAAGCCCAAGACTGCTTGCAGGTGGGGCTTGGCCTCTATCCCAAGTGTAAATTTTGTTCACACTAGGTGCTCAATAAGTGCTTTTCTCATGTCTCTCCTCCCCCAAACATCAGACACACAGAGAAACTAGAACTCAAGTTGCCTGGTTCAGTAAACAGATGTGGGCCCCCAGGATACTGACCATCATGTTTCTCTGCTCCTTGGACATGGCTACACAGGTGCTGTGGCACTCAGGGGTGTAGCTCTGTTCTCAGTAACCGAGTCGCTCCCTGGCATGACACTTAGTGCAGGAAACGGCCCGTCTTCCCTCCTTCAACAGGCTCATGAAGTGTTCCTATGCAAGTAGCTTCATGACAGGGACCATTCAGGACCACTTTAGGGGCATGATCTCTGCCCTCCAGGACTGTCACCCTCCCGTGTTTTAACAGCCTCCCGTGATGCTTTCTCCCATTGACTCAGAAGGAGAGAACAGTCTGAGCTGCACTGATTGGTTTCAGAAACGCCTTCTCTGGGGAACAGTGGTCCCCAAGAGCTCCTGCCTCTACTGACCCCTAATGCACAGGAGATTCCAGCCTTTCAAATTATCAGTGGTAAAAAAAGATTCTACAGAAGAGCCCACCTGTGAAATCAAATTTTGAGGCTTATTACAATTTTTTTGAAGTAACAAAACACACCTGAACCCTATTTGATGTCTTTCAGAGGAGGAAAATGATCTGGTCTGCCTTTCTAAAATCAACCCCAAAAGGCCAACGCTTACATACCTTCTACAGGTTGTCTCTCAGGTTTGGATCAAGGTTCGCCCTCTCCTGGAGGCGCATCCGTGCTGGCCATGCATCACACGCAGTATCGACACATGGAGCATCTGCAATCTACCATCGAGTGGTGTTTGTCATCCGCCCCTGCTCCCTGGGCCTCTTATTCCCTCACTCTGCTGTTTGGGGACACACCCACACACTACAGGGCAATTTCCTAGCTGCAACATCAATGATTTTTTTTTTTTTTTTAGGTAACATATCAATATAGTTTGATTTTTCCTACAAAATGTTCTACATGATTATGCTTTGGCCACAATTAGGGCAGATGTTTCCCTATGTGGAATTCGAGCTTTGCACTAGAACATGTAATTTCCAGGACTAGCCCAAAGCTAGTGCAAAGCTCTCATACACACACACACACACACACACACACACAGAGAGAAATGGATGCTTGTGACCTCTTTTTCTGTATTTAGTTGATAGTTTGGAGGATAACTATCAGAGGCATGGACTTCTGATTCTCTAGTCCAGCCCTCTGCTTTTATGGATTGGGAAACTGAGGCCTAGAGCATGGAGTGACTTGCTTCTGGTCACACAGCTATTGACAAGGCCAGGAGGAAGTGTTATATAGGTCTGCTCTGTCTTTTGCCTTGTAGTCTTAAGATTTATTTTCCTAAACATTACTTCCCATGAGGGTTTTATTTTTCGTCTGTCAGTTAATTCTGCTTTCGAGTCCAAGGGCTCAATAGCATATTCTAGAATTTATTTTTCTAGAACTGTAGTCCCATTTCCTCAAGTAAAACCCCACAGTCTGCCTGCACCTTCCTAATAGAACTGGATGGAGGTGGGTTGAGAGCAGGCGAGGTAAAGAGGAAGACCTGGCCTATAGGAACATTTGGAGATAAATTGTTTGGAAACTCCAGCTTCTTAGGTACCTGATTTTTAAAATTTTTTAGGAAGGTGAGACAGGAGTCACCATAACTGTAAAATAAGCCTCACAGTTGATGATTTCAACTTGTTCTCTGCTCTTTCCCTGCCCAGCTCCCAGCTGACCTATGGAATTGCCTGGATTTATTTCTTTTGGTGTCTTCGATTCACTTCATGGGGAAGACATTAATAATCATAAAGGAGTTGAAATCTCAATTAGCTTCACAATACTTTAAGACAACCTCATAAATGAAATTAAAGAGAGTCCAAAGAGCACCCCATCTGTAACTGGGGTGGGTTCCTGACCCATCTTCTAGAATGGCTTTGCACTCTCTGCTCACTGTAAGCACCCAGACCATGCCCTCACAACTGCATGCCCACATTACCAGTCTCCCTGATTTTGGTCTTTCTCCTTTCAACCCATTCTGGTTCTTCTATTGCTTGATCATGTCTTTATGTCACTTTCTTACTCAATAATCCACATAGTTCCCTGTTGCCAAGAGCATAATGCTCCAACACCTCTGCTGGACTTTGCAGATGTTCCACAATATGGTGAACTTCACCATCTTTTCTTCCAACACGCATCCTACTGGGCCCATGCTGACTTGTTCACTGCTCTCTGTGCTTCCTCCTCTTTCCTCTTGCCTAAGTTCTAGGTATGCTTCATCATCTGGGTCATGTTCTACTCCTCCAGAAAGCTATCCCTGGCTTGCTGGCCCACATGAATCCACTTTCTCCGATTGCCCATGGTGTGGGGAAAGTACTCTAGATAGCACCTGTGCAAGTGCACAGTAGAGTTTTATACTGATAGTTGCCACACACATGAAAAGTACTCCATAAATACTTTCCAACCTACAGAAATCACTTTGCAATACACATTTTTCCTTAACCAAGTGATCTGAATATCCAGGCTTTGGCAGAAGGAAACTGAGGCCCAGAGAGGAGTGGCTTACCTAAGACTACCTAACTGGTTAGTTATGAAGCCAGGTTTCAACCTCCTGATTTAATTCTTTATTCCTGCAAATAGGTGTTTTACTGATAGTCGGAGGTTTCTAAATAATAGCAATGGGTTTGTGACTTTTTAAATTAAGAAAATTATGAAATAAATTAATATTTCATAATCAATATTTCACAATCTAATTCATATTTCAAGAGGAGTAACAAAAGTTGCACAAAATCATAAACACTCATGTGTCATCACTTTTGTGACACCCATGAAAAGGTCAAGGAAAATTTTGGGCCATTGTATGTTAGTTTTTTTTTCTTGTGGAATCTCCTGCAATTCTTTACTGTACCTTCCCCTCATGTTCTGTGGTAGACATAGCTATTTGGGTACAGAGCTTTTTTCCACTAAGTTTAGATGCAGCCTAAGAATCCTTCTTAACCCGGTTAGCCATAAAACCAATACCAATCAGCCAGATTTGACACTTAAGAGTAAATTTAAGTTCTCTCCCAGCCTCACAGAAGGTTGTAGATTCCACACACATTTGAGAGAAGGGGTACATGGAAGCCAGGGTTTTGAGCACAAGCAGAGCCGCAGACATAGCCAAGCCTTGCCGGATGGCTTTTGCCAGCAAGTGTGCCAAGGGTCATATCACTAGCTGCCTGTCTTGGAGGAGGTCACCAACCTTACAGGCTATCCACTTTGACTCAGATAACTCCAATATCATGAAATGTTGCTTCTTATGGCCTGCGTCTGTCTTCCAGAAACATCTTCTCAGTAGCTATACAGAATAAGTCTATGGTAATCTCAGATGGGTATGTGAGAGGGGGTACCGAGGACTTCGGTTGTGAGGAGCTGTGAGGTGAAGATGCGCGTGGAGACTAATTGGTCCTGTTCTTCTGTAGAAGGCATAGAGGACCTAAGGAGACAAGCCAGGGACATGGAGCAGTGCTCAGCTCTGGAAGCAGCAGGTAGTGAGTCCTTGCAGAACATTTTCAATGCTACCTCATTAGCCAGAAGTTACTTCCCAGAGGCTCAACCCAATGCAGCACAGCCCTGGGAGCCATACTGGTGATGTCAGAGCAGGGGGTCATAGCCTGTGGGAAGGGTGACAAATGCTATAAAGCCCTTCCAGTGGGCAAGTGCGGGGGGGATAGAAGGCTGGTAAATGGGCCTGGTTTCATCACCAGCTGAGCATGCAGCACCCAGGGTTGCATGTTAGGATCCTGGACACATCTCTGGCTAGCCGTGGTTTCCTCGTCTATAAGATACAGGGTTTGAGCTACAAATACTCAAGAGCCATTCCATCTCCAAGTTTCCAAAATCTAGCTTCTGTCTGGATTTCTTAGTGAGCTTCTCTTTCCCAGATGCAGTTCAACGGAAGAAAGAGTTAAAAGTTTTCCTTTGAAATGCCTGATGTTGCTGTTGGCTGGGGATCTACGGGGTCCATTTCTTTTCCCCAGCATCTCTTACCTGGGCTCCTTTGGGTTTCCTGTACAGGGCTGGAGGAATCTAGACCATCAGGACTCGGGAAGAAGCTTCTTTCCAAATGGGCAGCATCTGTGGTCCTCAGCTCCGGGTGCTGTGATTTCTCCTAAACTCAAACTTCCTACCTCCCCAGCCCTCCAGGCATCCCCTTGCTGACTTTCTGTAAACTCACCGATGTGCATCCCCTAAACCCATTCCGGTCAAGTCTGCCAGTTAGGGAAGGGCACTACGGAGGAGGAGTAGGAACAGGAGGGACAAATGCCCCTTCTGCAGCACTCCCTCGCTCTCTGGCTTTCCTGCCCAAAGATGACTTCCTAAGCCCCCAGGGGAAGGTGAGCGCCAGCTACCATGGTTCCCAGCTGGGGGACCAGGCAGCTTTCCTTTACAGGGCAGAGCTGGGATGTCTAGTAGCCTCCCTGCTGTCTCGAGGTGTCACCTCTTCTCATTAGAATTCTAGCTCTAGCATTTGCCTTTATAGCAATTATCTAAGTGTTGTCTCCTCTGGGGGCCAATTTGCCTTCCAACCTCAATAAGCTCCTTTAATTCCCCGTCCAGGCGGGGTGCAGACTGGGGAGCCGTTTTAGCATCAGCGTCTCCATGGAAATCTTTGCACAGCCTAGGCGAGATCTTGTCTTTCTGGTTCTATGGAAATTTTCAGATCTTTCCTCCTAACTCTTGCCGACTGGGGCCGGGAGGGCTCTGCGGGACCCTCTCACAGCAAGAAGGGCATGACCTAACCCCTGTGTCAAGAAAGAACTCTGAGGTCTATATATGATGCAAGCAGGCCCCCCCCAAGTCCCATGAGGCCATGCGCTCTGGTGGGCTGGAGTTTGGGGAGGGGGCCCAATCCAAACATGCTTTGTTTGGCTAGTATGATGGGTCATCAATCCCAGACTGACGTACCACCCCACCCCCCAATACACACTCAGAGGTGGAGTGTGGGCCCTACTCAGGATGAGAAGCAGAACCTCACACTGAGGAAATTAGCTACACCTGAGTAGACAGAGTCCCCCGCTGACGTCAAAGGTCCCCGTCCCACAGCACCAGGTGTTTTGGAACTGCTGAAGAGGGGTCCTGCTTAGGGAAGTGCTTTGGAGGCAGGAGAGGGTAGGAGCATCCAGGAGGCCCTTGCATTCCAGGGAGAGGCGGAGTGTGCAAGAGCAGGTGGTTCCCAGCACAGGGGCCTTCCTGGGTGTGCTGGCTCAGGGCCTTGGCATTCTGCGGACAACGCAAGCCTTCCCCTTTTCTTTGTCCCCCGTCACTTAGTCTCTTGGCTCAGGCCCTGATGCGCGCCCCTTGCCATCTTTCTCTGGCCTCTTCTAAGGGCTCCTGAACTTCTTGTAGTGAGCTCACTCTGGCTCCCTGAGCATCCACCCACCCAAACATAACAGACAGATGCCACTTGGGAAGAATATGGAACCAAGCTGAAAAGGAAATGATGTCCCCTGGAGAAGCCATCTAGGAAGCTCATCATGAGTCCTGAGCTGAAAGGAACCATAGCTCCTAGGAGTGTAGTGTCTGTCACACACATTGGCACATGAGACCCAGGGCAGGGTAATCCAGCGCTTCCCGGGCAGCAAAAAGCTGAGATGGAACCTTGTTCCCTGTTGGTTGTACCAAAGCCTAGAACCCAGGTATTGAGGACTATCTAAGAGATCTGTTTGTGCAAGAGACTCTTTCCTTGAAGGCTCAGTCAACCAGAATTCACTTCAGAATGATGTTTTCTTCACAATGCTACATTTCTGACCTTGTGGAGGGAGAATAATGAAAGGAATTCCCAGAGTTAACTCAGGGCAGGCAGATTCCTCCAGGGGAACCGGCCAAGGTCCTGTGGAGAGAACCAATCCCGAGCTTGTAAAATGAAAGCAAATTGCTGCTTCTTTGGGCTCCAGCAGCCCCTGTGGCTGTAGCAGGGAACTGGGGGCTCTTAGTTACCAATGCGCAAAGGGTTAAAAAGGACCTGTCACTCTCCCACCCCCCTCCTTGGGGCCTTAGAATTTCTAGTTCCACAAGAGGTAGAAGGGGTCCCTATGGGTCCTTCTATCTGCTCTGAATGGCTAGAGGCAAGAAAAACCAGGCAAGTCAAAAAAATCTCACATAAAATGTGAATACCTTTAAAGCTGCCAAGTGAGACTGCGGTTTATTGAGTAGAAATCATGCCCACACTGAAACTTTCATTCCCCACCTGGTTTTATGTGATAGCTGTCCCCAGGCCCTCACAACCTTTAGGGCCTAAGAGAACAGAGCTGCGACTCACACAGGGACCATGAACAAACTGGGGCACATTCGTTTGATGCAGCCACAGACACAGGCCAGGAGGACCAAGTGATGGTCAGAGCTTAGAGGATGGACAGGAAGAAGAACCCTCCAGAGGGGAGAGGGCTGGGGAGGAGCAGGTCAAGGCAGAAGGGCCAGCTGAGTGACACTGGTCCTCCAGTTTGTGTCGACACAAGCAACCATGCTGAGCATTTTGGTAAAACGGACCAAATGGCTGACTGGTCAAGCTCTAGGAAAAGCTGTAAATGTAAATGTACATTTTCAACTTTTGTCTCCATGAGTTTTCTTCACCTTAGAGATTTTCCACCTTATTCCTTGGCAGGAGCTCAGAGCCACAGAATCACAGAAATTTGGAGTTGGAGGAGAGTACCTGCAGTGGTCATTTGGTCTAACTCCACCCAAAGCAAATGTCCCCTGCAGGCCTTCAGCCCTGCAATGCCAAGTAGGGGACTGAGAGTCTCATAGGACACTTGTGCTCAGGCTCAGCCATTGCTATGATGCATCCCTCTCCACGGATTCAGGGGGCCTGCTCACCACTCCCACCCTGTGCCCCGTGTTCTGGGGGGATGTCTAGCTGACTTATTCCACATGTGTTTCCTCTTACTGCACACAGCCATGACCTCAGCCAAATCTTTTTTTCAAGCCAAATACAACCAGCTTCACAGTCATTCTGGTGGGACAATGTGCTCCAGACCCTCCTTCACCCAGCTTGGCCTTATCTCAGGATGCCCTTTTCTTTTTTCTTCCCAAAGACGATCTTAAAATATGCTGCTCATGTTTCTTTGTGCTCTCCCCTCCCTTTTCATCGAACCTATTCTCAGAAATGGCTCCTGCCACCTAAGATGCAAATGATTGACCATGCTTACTCTGTTACCCTCCCAGGGCTGTTTACGTTTTAACAGGTTCAAAGCCTTAAATCAAAGGGATGTCTGGAAACGCTTTGGTAGCAGGTAATGGGAACACAGGGGACAGGAAAAGAGGCACAGTTATTTTCCTGGAACCCTTAAAATCACGCCTGATACATTTCCTAAACAAAAGACCAACCCGACCAGATAATTTCCTCAAGATGAAGATTAGTGCCCTGGACGTAAGCAGGCTCAGCCTCATCTTTATCTCAGGTGAGACTCTTCACCTGGTCATGCAAATCCCCATAAAATAAATTTCTCAAAGGCAGGGACTGGTTCGGTTACTGTCAAGCCTGGGACTTAGTAACATATTAATATTTCTCTAGACAGTGCTTCCTCGGTCAGTGAGTGAATGAGGTCAGGCAGAAGATAGAGTTTCTTAGGTCACAGACACTGGCAGATGATTCTGGGCAATCAGCACAGGGGCCCATTTAGGATGGAAGAAGGGGAATGGGCCTAAGTTTAGGGCTACAAGTTACCAGAAGGTAACTCTGATTTGGGGGGCAAAAGGAGACAGATAAAAACAAAAGACTAATATGAACATACATGGGGTTTCATTTTAGCTCAAATCCCAAAGATTTTTCTAAAACAAAGACTATATATCTATATCTATTTCCCAAATTATACTTATCAGTTGAATCTAAGGAAGAAAGTTTAGTGTTGGGAAATGAATCAGTGACTGAAAGATCAAGTGGAAATATGTCAGAGCAGGGCAAAATTATGCATGGTAAAAACTGGAAGAAGATAAGTAACTTGGACCAGGGTTCGAGGAAGCCTAACATATGGATATTGGAGTTCCTGAAAGAGAAGACAGAGGAGATGGGGGGGGGAAGCAGTAATCAAATCAATGCTAGAAGAAAGCTGGCTGAGCTGAAGAAAGGCTGGGGTTTGCAGAGGGAAAGGCAGGACTGAGGAGAGGAGACACACTCGCCAGCATAGCTTCCCCAAATTTCTGAACTTCAAAGATGAAGAGATTGTGGTCACCTAGAAGGAAGGAAAGGGCTATTCACAAAAGAAAAAAGAATGAGATTGGCTTCAGATTTCTCATTTTAACACTTGAGAGAAAATGAAAGAACATGTATAGAAAACTGAGGGGCAGGGCTGCATGCACCCTAGGGACTCAGTGCCCAGTCAAAATGCCATTCTCCTATCAGGGGAAAGAAACTCTGTGGACACAGAGTCCAGGAATATGCTACCTTATTTTCTCTTGTATTATTTGAAGAATATACTCAAGGAAGGGTTCTAAACAAGGAATGCACAAACCAGAATAGAGGTTGAAAGGCAGGGGAAGATGGAAAACAGAAGAAAGAATGATAAAAGGTAACATCCCAGGACTCACAATAAACCCCAGTGGAAAATAATAGAACTACCAGGAATGTGTGGTATAGGATTCCTTGCAAAAAGAAAAGGCATCTTGCAAGAGGAAAACTAAAAAGGATAAATGATCTCAGCGAAATGTAGGGTGGGAGATGACGGGAGAAGTCCAGTGTCCAAAGGTCTGGGGCACTGGGGGGTGGATCCTGAAGCAATTATAAATTCCTCAGGGTGGGAAAGGGGCATCGGAGACCCAGGGAGTCCAGCTAGGGTAAGCCCTCCGGTATTTTGCTCACATGATAATATAGAAACAGGTTTTTGAACATGTTGGGAAAGAGGCAGTAATCACCAGTTTGGGAAAACCTGAATGACCAGAACTTCTTATTTAGACACTTTCAGTCCCCTGCTTGTCCCTGTTTTGATTTGAAAACTCCAGCAGTGTGGCCAGAGGTGCCCATCAGCCACTGGCTCTGCGCCTGGGGTGCCTTCATCTCTAGCACGTGTCCCCTACTCCATGTCTGCCCAGGAGCCACTCAGCAAGTTTAATTCTATAGCATCTATGTTTTATTAAACAGTCCAAGAAGATCACCTTTCAGTCACCTTTCCAAAAGACTTAATATTTTTGTTGTACAACAACAACATGTAAAACATGCTTCTTCCTTTAACTCTGCAATCTCATCCCTGACTTCCTTGAACGTGGCCATTATGAGGACAATTGTGAGGATTTGGACAGAGAGAGGTCAGCCACAGGGATGGGGAATGACAGGTGTGTCTGATTCCATACAGGTGCAAGAAAAGGCAAAGAAGGAAGCACTGAGCTGCTTGACCCAGAGTTGAGAACAGAAGGTCTGGGCAGAGCATCTCTGCCCGGAGCTGGCTAGTCACCGCTGGGAGACTTCTCTTCTTCACTGCTTTTCATTGTCAGGTAGTAGATGCGGTTGGCCTCTGGGTAGGTGACCTTGCTGAGTGGGAGCTTGTAGATGGCTGGGTTGTTGGTCGTCAGAAGCAGGAAGATGAGGGTAGAGATACAGAAGGCCCAGGTGCCTGATGGCACAGCCACCTGGAAATAAAGCATTGGGGTCTGAAGAATGATTCTAGGCTCCTGTGTTGGGCCAGAGACACTGGGGGAGGAGGATGTGGTAGGGATTGAGGGTGGGGATCCTTCTCTAGGGAAGGCACTGCTGTCCCTGGATTCAATGTCTGAGGAGTGGGTCAAGGAATTTGAGGTGGTCCCTTTGGGCATAATCAGAATCACTTAATACTCGAGCTAAAAATTGGTCTTGACATAGATTCCTACATCATCTCTATAGTGCCATCTGTCCTTCTCTGTTGTTTTCTCTTTCAACACACACACACACACACACACACACACACACACACACACACACACTCTTCCTAGAGGTACATGCACAAATTCTTCTCTGGATAAACCCTAGCGAAGCCTCGATTGAAGCACTAAGTACCAGATACCATAATCCACTCAGGACCTTGCACAAGAACCCAAGCATCCAGAAGCTCTGGAACACTTTAGGATGGTGCTTGAGAGAGTCCAAACTTACCACCGCCATCATGTTAGAAAGGGCTGCTCCCATGTATGCAGAAAACAGAGCTGTGGAGTTACAAGGACCAACAGTCAGCTTCCCAGAGCCTGTGCATCCCCCTCCAGCCACTGCCCTGGCAGAGCCCAGACCAAGAGCAGGGCTCCTGTGTTCTTTCCTGCAGCCTCAGTGTCTGCACTGTGCCCTGACATGGGGCATGTCTGTTTGACATCTTTGCAGTTATCTCCCACCTGACGGTGCATTCTCTGAGGGAAGATATTAAAGTCTTACATTCTTTTATTTCCTCCCCATGTCCATGATGGCCTTGCATGGAGCCGGGGGACAATAAACATCTTGTTCCTATTGATCTGGGGGATGAGCTTGTTCAGGCACATAACAAGGGAGCTAGGAATAGGAATAGAGAAGTGACTTTGTTGTCACTTTCTCAAATACCCACCACAGACAAGTGCCAGCAGGTGGGTCTGCCAGGTGAGGGCGTAGAACATGCCCCCGATGGCGATGCAGGAGAGGACGCAGTTGTAGCTCCAGAGGCCCATGTAGATTGTCTCGAAGGGCGTGGCCACCGTCAGGGCTGTGGAATGAGATATGATATTTCTGAGAGATTTTGGACCACAGAGGATAGTGCCAGGTCTCAGGTTCCTTTCTGGTTTTTCACCCTATACCTACAACCTTGTCTATCAAAGGAATCTCTGTAGATGGCTTCGGGTCTCAGGAAACTGACAGTGGCAAGAAAGCAGTGGTTTCCAAACAGTTTTCCAAAGGCAGAGTTTTCACACAGAGGTGTGACTATTGCTGGACAGATGGGCAGCAGAAGTGGGAGTCAATCCTACCCACTCCTTTAGCCAGAGAAGCTTCATTTTTAGCAAGAGCGATTTGATTTTTAAAAATTCCATGTCCAATGGCTGAAAATTATGAGTCTACAACTATAGGCACATGTAGGGGTGAGTCATATCCACAGGGGTAGGATGCAAACAACAGGTGAGTCTGGGTAAGGACTCAGTGGGCACCTCTGGTATTATTTATTTTTGTGATTTTTTTTGATGAGTGTGAGAGTATTTCCAATTAAAAATGTTTAAAGTGGCTGCTTCCAAACGTCTTTGAACATCGAATAGTATTGGAATAAGTAAAAAAACAGGCTTCTACTCCCAATGTTCCCTTCCTCATTTCTGGCTCTTGTGGTACAGAACATATCTGTCTATGTATTTACAAAGGTGGAGGAAGGTGAAATCGCACTTGTGAAATGCTGATCCAATTTTGGGAAAACTTTTCCTTTTAGCTTACGCAAAACTCCAAAGTGCTGGCCGTGTGTCCAGCTTGGACTTTCTTGTGCCCCTCCCCCACAGGCAGCTGCCGTCCCCCTACATTGCAATCTGCTCCCTTTAGAGACTCAGGAAAAGGAAAACTAAGTTCCTACCCCTGACCGTGTTTGAAACTCCAGTGAAGAGAGTACATCTAGAATATTTGCTGTGTGTGGGGAGAACGGACCCTACAACGACTATTCTGAGGATCCGAGCAGGGGCCGTGCTTTACCTGCTAACATCCCCACGATGGACCCGATGGCTGCGTGTAAGCAGATGAGCGGGGAGGAGATGAACAGAGCCACCAGGATCATGCCGCCGGTCCAGGGGTTGTCACAGCCATACACCTGGCCAACCCCAGCGGGGATGGCTTGTAACAGCTGCAAAATCAACAGAACCCGAGTCACTGGAGCATCAGTTGATAATGCAAAGACGGGCCCTGTGGGCCACTGCTGAGCCATTCCTGGAGGGGGCAATGAGGTGGAACGGGAGGATGACCGTGCCCTCCAGTGTGAGAACAGGGGAGGGCAAAAACTGGAACAAATAGCTCCCCACTCCACCACCTACCAGGCATCTGGCAACCTCATGCACCCAGGTGGGCAGGACCCAACATGGGGGCCAGGCACAGATGCTTCTGAGGAACATACAGCTTCTTCTTGGAGGGGACCAGAATGCATGGCCTTCTCAGACTGCCTTTTGGGGTTTCAGGGCACTAGGGGATTTCCTTTCAACCTCCTGGAATCCTAGAAATATCTACAAATAGCTGAGATATCCTAGATTATTTTGATGAGTGAGTTCCCTAAGCTAGAGCCTCTGAACTTGACCGTTAGTCAGGTCTTTACCACCCCCACATGGCTGATACATCCTTTTAGGTGCTCTCTATTCTACCCCTGGAAAGGAGGAGAAGGCGTTTCCCCTGCTCTTCCACTTAGCAGGGTGATAAAGTACTGTTCTGGAACAGCTGAAGAACGGCACGCAGCCCCAACACCCCTGAGCCTTGAGAGTGATCTGGTGGTGGAGGGCTTGGGGATGACTGATTTGAGACAGAGGTTGAATAGTCCTTCTCTGTCCAGGCTGAATTGTCCATATCTCTGCAATCCTTTGAGGTCAAAAGGGGAAAAGACAGAGAGGGGTAGAGGAGGGTGAGCACTGGCCTAGGGATACAGGACTCTGGCTTCCAGAGGGAACTCATTGTGTGACCATACGCGTGTCACTTCCTCATTCCAGGCTCGGGTGTCTTCCTCTGCAACATGAAGAGGCTGGCCTAGCAGAGGTCCTTCCATCTTTAAAATTCTGTAGCTCATTTCTCTGGGTCATAGGATTCTTAGAGGATAGGGTGTTTTATGACTGAGTATACAAAAATGTGCATAAAAATATGTATTGATTAGCTTATAAACCTATGCTAGGAATGGCAGGTAGGCCCTACCTAGTGTTATATATTGGTTCCAGAAAATGCTTTGTACCAGACCAGGGAACTCAGCTTACATGTGGAACAGGCTAGAAGTCTACTCAACAAAGATCCCAATGACCTTCCAATGTCTAGGGGATGCGGAGTGCTGAGGGGAATCCAGCTTCGACCTGTCCATCCGGGAACACAGTTGTAAGCCCAAGCAATCAAGAATGAGAGGAATGAGGGAACAAGGGGCCTTGGAATAGAGCCATATGCAGATGAATGAATGAAGCTCCTGTGCCAGGGTCCATACTTTAGCCTGGTGAACTGTGCAGTCTTCCCCTAACCCTGCTCTCCAGGCCCAGTTGACACCCTGGGGTGAAGCGCAGTCAGGTGTGTGGTGGAAATTTACCGAGCACCTGGTCTTCTTCATACTCCTTATAATTCTCACGAACAACAACAAGCTGGTTAAACAAAACGAAGTCTTTCCCCTGCAATGCTTTAGAGAAACAGGGAAGTGGCATGGATTCTTCAAAATTCAGATCTGGCGGATGTGGGAGAGAAGGATGCTGTTTGTTAGAGTGGTGGGCTGCCTCGGAGTTGGAGGGCGAGCTTGGGCCTCAGGATATCCCGATTTGGTCCACCTGCTTTCTCTTTGTTTATTTTGAGGAGGAGTAAGAGGGTCCTCTTCTCTGTGACCCACATCACACAGGTCCCCTCAGCACTGACTGGGTTGTCTGGCCTCACAGCGTGGAGTGGGCCTTTCTCTCTGGTCAAGCCACATGTTCCTGTGGTGGGTGCTTAAATAGTGACTCTTGGATGTGGGCCAGGGACCATGGGTCCTTATTCCCAAAGGCCAGAGGATGGGTGACAGATTACTCTCAGCAACTGTACATTTGTGATGGTGGGATATCAAGCAGAGTTTCTCAACTTGGGTCCTATAGACATTTTGGACTAGAATTCTTTGCTGAGGGTGGTGGGAAGCAGTCTTGTGCGTGATAGGATGTTGAGCAGGGTACACAGCTCCCACCTGCTGTATTCCAGAAGCACTTCTCTGGTCTTGACAAAAAAAGGTTTCTTCAGACCTTGCCTAATGTCCCCAAGGAGCAAAAATCACCTTTGCTTGAGAATCATTAGTATAGAAAGTATGTGAAAATTTAACCATTGTCTTCTACTGGTAACACCTGTAACATCCTAATTTTAAACATTTGTTTTAGTCTCTTATTCTTTTATCTATCTTATCTAATATTTTTTTCACACAATCACACCATCCTGCACTGTCAACGTAGCCCTTATTTGTTCACTTGTGTTATCTCTTCCCCTCTATAGAATGTAAGTTTCAGGAGGAAAGGGCTGTTGCTTTCTTCCTTGTGTATGCCCAATATCTGGAAGATTGCCTGGCACATCTCAGATGCTCAATATGTTCTGTTGAATGGGTGTCCGGATGTGACAGCCATGCTTTCTGGACTATCAAGGACAGTGTCTGGTGAAGCTGAAGCTGAGCACCTGGGGAAGGTACCGGCTGGGAAGCAAGAGGATCTGCCATGGAATTGAGGGGCTTCAACCCATCGCCATTGGGAAACTCACCAAGGGCATTTCAATCTCTGTCCAGGTGATATTGGGTACCGACGACACAGGCTCTACTAGCGTCATGGGGAAGAAGAGGTTGTAGTGGCCTGTGGCTGCCAGGTACAGAGTCACAGCGATGTTGAAGGGCAGCGTGAAAACTGGCAGGTCCCACTTGCTGAAGATGGTGCTCAGCGCACTGGAGATAACTGGGCTGAAGGTGGAAGAGACAGAGGGCCGATCACTGTGAGTACCCTTACTTTGACACTGTCCCTTCTGCTCTGGCCACTGTGCCCTCTGCCCTCCCCTCTCCTGTTATAGTCATTCCTGACTCCCTCAAGATTCTAGTGGTCCATTGCTTTGGGATTGGAAATGAGATGTTCAACTTAAATTTACAGCTATGAGAAACAAAATTTGATAATATTGAAACATTTCAAATAGAATACATTATAAATAATTTAAGCATTTCCTTGTTTCTTAAATGGAGAAAATGAAACCAATACATTCTCAAAAAAAAAAAAATGCAATTCTTGCTTTTCAACAATCAGCATGGATAATAGCTATTGTCCTGGGCTGTGATAGCATTTCAGGAGTCTGACCTAGGAGGAGGCTGGTATGGTGTGTGGGTCCTGTGGAGGCCCGGACTCAGCAAGAATACTAAGAACTACTCTGGGAACTTCCAAGTGAAGTGGAACCTTCAGTTGTTTGTACCTTCTGTCTTCTTGGCCTTTTCCATGGAAAGAGCATGGATTTTGGAGGCAGATGGAGCTGGATACAAATCCTCATTACTATGCTTACAGGTCAAATGAGCAACGTTAGGTAATGAACCTCTCTTCACTTCCGTTTCTTCTGGAAGGGACCAGCCACCCTAGATACCTAACATGCAATCACATGATCTGCCTGCACAGTCTATCCTCAATTCATGACCATGAATCTCAAGGGGGTCTACCTTACCCTACCGCACCTCCCCTGCACACAAACTCTTCAACACACTAAGGACTATTTCACATTTTCAGCTTTCCCTCAAATCTTTACTATCTGCTTCCCTTTTACTTTCAGCCAACCACCGGGTTTTACTCCTTTTAAAAAAAAATACAAATGACAAAATGAGAAATGCTTCATTTTTCCGACCAAAAAACCCAAACCAAACCAAAACCAAACCTCACACTCACATACTCTGCCTCTTTCCTTTGATGGAAGTGTCTTCTCCTTCATCTCTCCAGTCCCAACTGCTCTCATCTCTCTGTGGCTCATTATAGCAGACTGGGAACTGTGCTCCCTCATCCATTCTTGCTCTGCTTTGCAAGCAGAGGCATTTGTTTAAATATAAATTATATCCGTCAATCCTGTGTCCTGTGTTTTACTACAGTTGTAATAAAAATCATAAGACTTCTTGGCTCTCCAGGGAGCAGGGGGCCAGCCCTCATCATCTCCTCTCGCTCTCACCTCCTGCACCTCCTCCAGCACTCTCGGGGCCTTAGCCCACTGGTCTCCTCTCTACTTCTTGAACACATCACACTTCCCCAGTTTGGGTTTTCTACCTGTGACAACCCTTTCTCTAGATCTTTGAATGTCCCAGCTACAAAGTGGCCTTCCCTGACCACCCATGGCCATTATCACTCTTGGTTCCATTGACTCTATTTTGGTTTCCAAACCACATACTGCGTTTTTTGAAATGACCTCCTTTTATTAATTAGCTTATGAGTTCATTTCTCTCTTTGTGAACAGAGCTCTTTACCTTTCCTTACTATCCTCGGCTTCTAGAATATCCCTGCACTCAACCAATAGTCAAATCAACACAACTATTTGTTTATTGAATTGATCTGGGACATGGCATTACCAATACCCAACCTACTTAGATACATTTGAAAGACCACATGAATGGATTATGGAGTAGAGTTAATGAAGCACAATGCTCTGCCCAGGGTAGAGTATCAATGTAGTTTTTCTTTTAAATTGGGAAGTGGGGGACACTGAAGTCTAACTGCCACCTAGTGCCACCTGGCTGAAGGGCTTAATCTATATAGTTATAAAGCACACGTATGCAAATGAGGACAAGTTCTGCTCCCCACAGGGGGTGAGCATTAAAGAAATCCCCACAGAAATGACTGCCTTATGTTTTTGTCCCAACAGATTCAGAAAGAAATCTGAAGAAGAAAAATAAATTGCCCAGAATGGTTAATGTAGTAATTTATTTGCAAGCACTACTAAAAAGTAATGAAACAGTACTTAAGCTAAATGAAACTAACTGGTTTTAGGAACTCCAGACTTTAAAACCAAAGAAAGAATTTAGTTCTTAGAGATGTTAAAAATAAGTCACCATGTCTGATTTATCACTGAGAACAGGAATAAATCACCATGTGTGAGCGGAGTTGAGGCCAGGGTAGAATGCACACAGGAAGTCAGGGGTGGAGGTCAAGGGTTCACTGTGACAGCAGGCACACTACTGAGACCCTCTGGGCCCTCTGCCGACCTGCTGTAAATTCAGATGAGCTAAGAGTCATGTGTGTGAGTGACAGGCACATACACTGCACTCAATGAATTTTTTTTTTTTAAACCCCCTTCCACCTTGAGGAAGACACAAGTGATACTTCTAGTTCAAATATTCCAGATTACAGAGGGCCATTGTGTCCCAAGAAAGCCTTCTGTTTCTATCACAAGTGAATTTTCAGCTTTTGGGTCTAGGGTAGGCTACATAATAGATGATTGCCACGCAGCCTGGGGTCTGATATGGCCACTCTGGACTCAGAAAGCAAGCATCACAGACATTCATACAGCATGACCTGGGGCAGGCTACTTGACCTCTGCGTGCCTTGGTCTTCCCTTCTGTCAACTGGGACACACCCCCCCCATCTTGCTTAGCGCTGTGCCTGGCATTTAGGAGCTACTCAAAGTTAGCCTTTATTATGAAGCCTGTCACTCAAGGAAGCTTATCAACACATTTCTATGCTGTCTCCTTGTGTTGCTCCTGAGCTCCTGAGCTTTCATGGTGTCTTGCAACACAAATCAGCCTGTTCATGAAGACACTGAGTGTCAGTGTCCACTGACAGTGGACGGCCTGTCCTTGTCCAGTGAAAGGCACAGGCATCTTGGGGCCCCACGGATCTGTATGCAGAAAGAAGGAGGCGCCTCACCAGGCCATGGCTGTGAAGGTCACAGGGAACAGAAGCCACCAGTAGTAGTCCAACTTCTCAGAGAACACGGCCACCAGCAGTCCCACCAGCGTACCATTGTAGCCGTGCAGTCCTGCGGCAATGGCTGATCTGGGGGTGAAACAGTAAGTTGGAGTTGAAATTTGGTGTGGCCTATTGGGCTCTTTCCCCCCAGAATTCTAAGGTAATTTAGACGATAACTTTACTAATGATACATTAAAAAGTCAGCTTGATCAGGATATGGGCCAGTTCTGTGCCAGCTGCCCGTGAGCTGATAGGGAAGTGGGCATGAGGAACAGGGGCCCCTAGTTGAAGCAGACACAAAATTCTGGTGGGAGCCCACTGTCTCCTTACCTACCAGCCCTGCCCTCCAAAGAAGGCAGTCTCTCTTCCACTTGAACTCACATGGCTGCCCAGCTTGCCAGAGTGGGCCCTCTGGCCACCTTAGAGGTGCATGGGCAGCTCCTCATGGGGTCAAGCTGACCCAAGCATTTGCCTCGGTGGTGTGTGGGAGGCCAGGTGGGCCTGCAGGGCGTGATGTTGGCTGCTCAGACTATTGCCACTGCTCTGTGTTTACCATGAGACCTCTGGCCATTTTGTCATCGCAGGTGCAATGACAGGGACAGCATGATTTCAAGCATGACATGTCATATGTCCAAGCCCACGTCCTGCCACCCCTGCCTGTGGCACTTTAGATGAGCACCTTTGTCTTGCAGGTCCCCTTACCCTGCAAAATATAAAACCTGATGCGCTCACCATCTGCCCTGGTAAACAGTGCTAAGAGCCCTGGGTGACAAGGCAGAGTGGTGCTTTATAATTCTTCTTTTCATCTTTATTTTATTTTTATGTGGTGCTGAGGATCAAACCCAGTGCCTCACACATCCGAGGCAAGCACTCTTCCACTGAGCTACAACCCCAGCCCTTTTTAATTTTTTGAGAGAAAAAATTTGTTCTTCTTAGTCATACATGACAGTAGATTCCTTTCTGATATAATCATACAAGCATGGAATGTATCTTATTCTAATTAGGAACCCATTTTTTGTGGATGGACACAATGGTGAGATTCACTGTGGTGCAAAGAAAGACCTTTTATATTATGATCAAATTCTTCCCCCACCACATTCCAACAGAATTCAAGCAAACATTTCACAAAATAATATTTGCCTTTATCACACATGGATTGCTCTAGTCAGATTAATTTTATTCTATTGGTCTTAATTTTAAAAATTGCTGTCAGTAATTAATTAACGATTCCATAAACTCCAAATTGAAAAACATTAAGATATGGGATAATCCTGTATTCATGTCCTAAAGTTCTCTGATGCCAGAAGCTTCTGGGTGGATTTTGTTAAAAATTCTCCTCCTGGATCCATTGAATCAGAATAGCTATGGGAGGGAGGGAGGGAGGAGGGGCTGAAACTTTTTTTTTTTTTTTGGTAATCATCCCAGGAGATTCTGATCAGGAAGGTCTGGGAACTGTTGGAGTAGAACGTAACAGAAGTCTGAAGAAACAGTCTAGTTCTACAAATGCTGGTTGCTGTTGTAACCTGGCTCTGCACCCACCTGCCCTGGCTCACAGTAGCTGGCTCCCCCACGTCTGTCTCTATTCTTCCCGCTGCCCCTGTCTGTCCTGTTCCTCAGAGGCTCCCTCCCACACCACCCTTCCCTTTTTCTCAACTTCTCTCCATACCCAACATGTCTACCTCAACAGCGCCTCCCAGTCTTGCCAGCAGGCAGAGATGTCTATCTTCTCTGAAATCTCTGGTGTGCACTATCCTGGAGTATTCGAGGCATCTGTTGCCTGTCAATCTTGTCTACTGATCACTAGATCGTGGGCCCCACGAGGGAAGAACAGCTTACATGTCCCTCTACACCTTTCTCAGAGGGAGAGTTTCCAGAAAGTTCCACGGTCACCTTGAGCCGGGTGCCATCCCTGCCTGTGAACTTCATTCTGTAGGAACCTCCAGTGACCTGTGTGAAGTTGGTCCTCAAGGGACATTCGCCTGGCTGTGCCCCACACATCTTTTCAAGAGACCTCTAGAGAGGGACTCACCTGTCCTGGTTTAAGGCGAGGGCAGTTAAGGTGGAGACCACTGTCCCCAGAGCCCCAGCAATGGTCCACCAGGGATTCTGGATCAGAAGCCCGATGAAGATGAGGAGCCCACTGAGAGGGTTGTTGACGAACATCACCTGAGCGGCTCCCCTCAGGATCCAGTCTACGAACTGGAAGGCCAGGGGCTTATCTGCAAGAGACAGACCCAGCCATCAGCAGGGTCTAGCCTGCACTGCCCCACTGGACCACTGGTTGGCATGGCAACCAAGGCATACAGGGATGCTTAAGCCAGGATGTTTCTCCTAATTCAGCCTGGCCTAGGGTGGGGCAGTGAAGGGGAAGGGTGCGGGGGTCACCCAGCCCAAGACTGGATGGTTCCTTTTGCCATAAAGACTGAGGCACTGTCCTGAGACTAATTTGACAGAGTTCCAGCCATTGGCTCGGTTGGCAAGAAAACCCATGGAGCACTCCAAGGAAAATTTATTGGTCCAAGGGAAGGGGTGGGAGGGAGGGAAACTCTTTTTGTGCAGTGCTGCATGACTCAGTTGAGGACTGTTATCTGAGTAGCAAAGAAAGTAGCCTGAAGAAAGGAAAGTGGGAAAAGAAATTGTTCTAGCCCAGCTGTGGAAATCATTATTGATTCAGGGCCCAGAGGAAGCCGGGTATGGAAGAGGGGAGACACAGTGTGCCTCCTTCCCCGATATGGTTTCTAGGACAACCCATGCTGGTGGGGGGCAAGTGGGGACGGGGAGGGTGTGGCGTTTGGTGTAGCATTTAATTCTGGGAGAAGTAAAAGGAAAAAAACCCTGGAATCCTGGGAAAGATGATGCCTGTTTTTTTGGCTCTTGGTAAGCACCGTAAAAAATAGCTGTGGAGCAAGTGAAGGAATGGCTATTCAAATGGTTTGTTTGGGAAAGGGTTTACATGTTGCCAATGTCATTGTCCTTTATTTGGATAACTTACAAAGGACTAAAGTCCGTGGAGGGCATTTCATTCTGACCCTGGGAATGCAGCTCAGTATGGTTTATGATGTGTATCCGGAGTGACTTGGGGCTGGAGCGCCCTTCAACTGAGGGAGCCCTGGGATGGGGTGCGAGGGAGTAGCTTCCTCCTCTAAACGGGAGCAAGGGCTGTCTCTGGCCTGGCCCACGGCTCCTTCGCTGGCGTCTGCTTACCTTTCAGCCAGTTCCTGTACTCCTCCATCTCCCCCGTGAGGTAGCTCACTGCTTGGAAGAGGCTGAAGCCTCCCCGGTCTGCAGAGCCCCTGTGGGACACCTTGCTCCCTTTCCTTTTGTTCCTTTCACTGGGTTTTTCAATTTTCACAATGTGGCTGTCTTCATCAGATAATCGGAGATCCTTCCAAGAAAAGCCACAAGAAGACATCAGAATATACTCTTCTGAGAATAGGGACATTTCAGGTTTTTTTTTTTTTTGATAAAGGTAAAAGATCATGACACAAAGGGTGGGACACATGTTCATTGTCTAAAGCTGTCCAGAGCACTCCATGCAAACCCACCCTTCCCGGGACTGCCACACATCCTTCATGAGAGGGTTGTCTTAACATTTTGTACCAGGGATCCATTTTGGCAGTTTAGTGAAGCCTATGAACTTCTTTGCAGAAAAATGTTTGGAAATGTATAAAATAAAATAAGATTACCAAGAAAACCAATTACATTGAAATGCAATTACCACAGTATTTTAAAAAAATTGTGGTCTGTATGTATGCATCAGATCTATTGCCTATTACAATCTAAAATTCGTGGTGAGTGGCTATATGGGACCTCTTCATCCCAATCTTTGTATACAATCAGGAAAAAAAAAAGATGGACAGTACAAGTTGATGAAGACATGGAGAAACTGAAACATGGGACACTCTTGGTGAGGATGTCCAACTGCTTTGATGGGATTGGCAGTTCCTTAAAATGATAAACATAGAGTTACCTGATCTAGAAATTTCACTCTTAGCTTTATACCCAAGGTAAATGAGACCATATGCCCACACCACAACATGTGCATGGATGTTCATAGCAACTTTATTTATAAAAATCAAAAAGTGGCAACAACCTAAATCTCCATCAACTGATGAGTGGATAGACAAACTGTGGTGTGTCCACACAGGGAAATATGGTTTGGTCATAAAAGGGAATGAAGTCTTACTTTTCACTGTGACATAGATGAACCTGAAAACATGCTAAGTGAAAGAAGCCAGTCACAAAAGGTTACATATTGTATGATTTATGTGAAATATTCAGAATAGGCAAATTTGTAGGAACCAAAATCAGATTGGTGGTTGCTAGAGGTGGGGATGGGGAGGGTGGAAAGGGGGGTGACTGCTAATGGTCACGGGCTTTCTTTTTGAGACAAGGTAAATATACTGGAAGTAGATTGTAGTGATGTTTGCACAACTCTATAAATATCCTTAAAAGCACTTGAATATATGCTTTTAAAGGATAAATTTTATGGCATATAAATTGTATCTCATTAGAAAGACTCAGTGTTGTGTCCCTCTCCACTGTCACAAGTTATCCAGTCCACCTCTTGCTCCTGTGTCCAGAGAGTGCCAGGGCCCATATTCTGGAAAAAGCTTTTATTCTGGAGACTTTCTCAGGGAGAAAATCCAAGGGGAAAGATTTTGGAGACAGATGGAAGCCTGGTGTGTGAGTGTGTGCATTGTCTGCTTGCACTTTACGGTCATGTTCCACAGACAGCCACGCTTTTATGTCTAAGGCCAGGTAGGACTGATCATGGAGTCCATTGGGAGGCCCGGAAAGCAGCACCTTTCACTTCCCTCCCTGCAATTCCTCACCTGGAGAGCATCCTGGATTGGACATGGCTCACCTTTTCTTCAGGCATTTCCAGCAGGGGCAGGGCTGGGTGTGTATCCTGGGGGCTAGACGGCCAGGTAGGGCTGCTCGGCTCTGACTCGTAGAGTTTGTGTCTGCTGGAAAGAGGCCCTGGCAGGAGAGGGCTGTTGTGGTTGTCAGACATCTCCTTGAGGGGCAGCTGCTCATCGGTCATGCAGCTGGTGAGAGGGAAAGGGAAGACAGTGACTGAGGATGGGTCCAGAGGACTGGCCTGAGGCCGGACTGACAGCTCAGGAGGCATGAGGTCTGGGGGGACAGAGGGTGAACAGTGACACATGTGGGTCTGTTGTTTCAGTAGCTTGTGCTGTCGGGGGGCTGGGGCCGTTTCTCTAGCCATATGAGCTTTTCCTTTCAAAAATCTCCCCATACTTCTAGTCCTGAAGAAACTCCATATTTGCTGTAAAGACTTCCCTAACCACCTTGCTAGAAGTCCCCCCCCCCTTTCTCTCTCTCTCTCTCTCTCTCTCTTTCTCTCTCTCCACCCCCATTTTTCTTTTTTTGCAGTACTGGGTGTTCCATCTCAGTCCTTTTTATTTTATTTTATTATTTTTTTATTGGTTGATCAAAACATTACATAGCTCTTGACATATCATATTTCATACATTTGATTCAAGTGGGTTATGATCCCATTTTTACCATGTATGCAGATTGCAGAATCACATTGGTTACACATCCACGTTTAACCATACTGCCATACTAGTGTCTGTTGTATTCTGCTGCCTTTCCTATCCCCTTTCTATCCCCCCTCCCCTCCCCTCCCCTCCTATCTTCTCTCTCTACCCCATCTACTGTAATTCATTTCTCTCTCTTGTTTTTTTAGCCCTTTTTATTTTTAGGGGTTCTCACTATGTTGCCAAGGTTGGTCTCAAACTTCTGATCCTCCTGCTTCAGCTTCCTGAGTTGCTGGGATTACAATTCTGTGCCGCAATACCCAGCAGAAGTCTCTCTCTCTCTCTCTCTCTCTCTCTCTCTCTCTCTCTCTCTCTGCTGATCACTGAAATATTTTTTCTTCACCTTTCATGTTGCTGTTTATACTATCTTATTGTGGTAGTTAGTTGTACATATATTTTCCCCTTGATATAGGCATGTAGATCTTTTACCAATTGAGGAGCTAAAAGAAACTCATCTTCCAAATTGCTATGGAGATGGCATTGCCTACAGTCAACCTGCAATGGCCCCTTTCTCCATTCTCCTTTGGGCCCTTTCTAACTCCTTCTCCCTGTCCCTCCCCAGAAGGAGCACGAAGCTCTGGCATGTTCTACTGGAAGCTGTGCGCATCCAGGCTGGAAGTCCTTCCTCCTCTGTGTCTGGCTCCATTTCCCTTCACTCTGAGGACCAGGGCTCATGGAAGTTCCTTTGCTTAAGGCCCCCAGTTTCCTGCTTCACCCAGTTTCCTGCCAGCCACCATGGTAGTGCTATACGTCCCTCCTTCCCATTCTATTATTTTAGCAGTTCTTGTTTGGTCTCCTCCAGCTCAGTCACATCTTTATTTGCTTTGTTGTGTTTTTGAGAAGTGGTTTTGACCCTGCTCACAGCTCCTGTCTATAAGGTTCTCCCCATTGCTCCAGCTGCCTGTCCTGAGGTGCCCAAAGTCTCCCTTAGGACATTGATCTCAGATTCCAAACACTGCTGCTACCATTCCTCATAATGGTACATTTCCCTGGACCATTTACTCTCCTCCTCCAATGGAGGGGGGACTCTTGCTCTCCACTCTTGTTTCCAGATTGCCACTGACCATGACTGTGCAGAAGCTTTCATCTCGGAGGCGAACACCAGCTGGTCACCTGCTTCCCCACTTCTTGCTGCGGCTGCTGAATTTCTGGTCACTTTCCAGAAGGCTCTAGGTGCGCCTAGAGGCATCTTCATCCCCCTGCCAATCATTCTAAGCAACTGCAGTGTCCTGCAAGATAACCCACTGTCCCCCTCTCTGGCTTCTCAGGTCCTTGTTTGCCTCAACTCCACTGACTCCACCTTCTCTTTCCAGTCACCGGTTTCCACAGTCACAGCGTGGGCCTGATGTCACACATGCTCTGAAGTCTCAAAAGTCAAATCTCTCCTTTGGTCATTACCTCCTGTCCTTCTGATTCCCCTGCTCAAGTGTCCCCGCTGACCCAGCCCCCTGACCTCCTGGAGATCTCCAACCCCTTGGCTCCACCCATCGCCTATCTTCCCTTCCCTCCTTGACCAATTTAGATTTCGTTTTACTCCTTTCAGCCAGCTTCCTCCTCTCTCCCTCCTTCATTCCTATGTGGTGAGATCCCAAGCAGGATGGACCCAGGGCTCCAACTCTTCCACGTTTTCATTGAGCCATTGAACCTGGCTAAACATCAATTTGATGCCCTGGGTGCTGCTTTCTCTTGGTGTTTGTGATTTCCATTTCTGAACAAACACCCAGTGCCTCCTTCTCTCTCTCTTCAGCCCGCCTCATCCCAGTGTGTTACTATTGCCTTTGCTGAGGTCCCTAAGACTGCCATGTTGGCAAATCCAAATACGCTTCAGTTCTCATCTTGCTAGACCTCTTAGTGGAGTCCAAGACTCGATCATCCCTTTTTGACATGATGGTGAGGCTTTACAGCTGATCTGCTCTCTGGTTGTTTCTTCCCCTCTCCTTGGCTAGCTCTGCCTCCTGCATATGTAAGCATCCTGCAGAGTTCTGTTCTGGACCGTTTTCTCTTCACTGCTGTTCCTACCCAGTTGATGCCAGCTGTCACTGTGGCTTTGTATTCCATGTATGTGCTGATGACTCTCAAATCTGACATTTCTAGCCCAGTTTTGAGCACTGGATTAAAAGATGCGATTGTCTACTCTGTACTTGTACGTGGAGGTTCCAGAAATGGCTAGAAGTTAAGAGACTCATAATTTTGCTTTGTCAAATCCTGTCCTCTGTCACGGGGTGTCCACCCAGAGCAAGTTCCCCCTCTCCCAAGCTACTCCTTCAGAAAACTTAGGAGTTAGTTTTAATGGTCCCTTCTATATTATTCTCCACACCCAGCAATTCTGTTTCTAGAACATACTGTCACCAAGGAGTTACCATAACTTCCTGCTACTTCCCCAGTAATCCCCACTTGGATACCTCCACTTTCCCTCAGATTTAATTTCCAAGCCATGCTCCATGGGACAGAGCTGTCACATGAATACCCAGAAACACTCAAATTGGTTCTTTGTTTTAACCCTTTAATAATTTCATGTGGAAAAACACGCCCTTATGCTGGTGTGCAAGGCTCTGCATTACCCTGGGCTCATGCGGGTCTCCTATTAGTCCCTGGAAGGTGTTGAGCTCTTTCCAGCTCAGAATCTCGGTGGGCAGGGCCCACCATTTTGGAAGGCCTCCCCATCCATCTTTCCTAGAGGAATTTGTCTCAATTATAACTTGTTAGGGAACCCTTCCCAGATCCAGCCTTCCTCAGCCCTCTCCTGTCCCATGCTGTTTTGGAACCCGATGTTTTTCCTTACAGCAGATTTGTGTACTAATTTATATAAATCCCCCAGAACTCAAGATTCACAGGTACAGTGACCTCCTCTTTTCTCTGTTGTATCCCTAGCTCCTACCATGGTGCCTGGGGCCTGTACTAGATGCTCAATAAATAAATATTTAATGAAAGGAAGGGAGGGTGAAGGCAGAAAGGAAGAAGGAAGGAATTGTAAGAGAGTCTACAGGTGGTGACGGTTAGAGTGGGAACAATTCCTTGGAGAACTTTACAGATCCCTGGGAGTCTCAAGAGTTTCCAATAGTATAAGAAGAGTGTGGGCTTTGTTTCTGCATTTCTATAAAGTGAAGCCCCTTACTTGTGACCAACATTGTTCTCACATCCAGGAACAGCTCATTAAGCAACAACTAATTTTTTGTATGGTTCTAATAACATTCAAATCCAACCCACTCAATTCTGCCATCGCTCTGGAATTGGGGTGCTTTCCTCTACTTGAGTCCTGCAGGTGGGGTTTCAGGGAGAGGTGCTGCACTCTGGACTGGAGGGATCATGCTGGAAAGGTTTCATTGACAGTAGATTGCAAGGAGCCTGGAATCTGTCCCTCTCCAATGTGCTTGCTCCCTCTGGTGGCCAAGAGGTGACACAACACTCCTAGCCCCTTGGTAAAAATTTCCTCAGGAAAAGTGAGGATGGTCACTACATCCAATGTGGACATTGGATGTGTGTCATCTGGATGAACTGGAAATGTTCTGGAAAGACCTCGTGTTAAATTCAGTGGCTGTAAAACCTATTATCTAGTTAAAAATAATGATGACAATATTTAAAAAGCATATTTCATTGAATTTAAGATGTTATCAATGGTAAGATAATTCATTATATGTATCGACAAGAAAGAAGAAAACGCTGCTGATCACAATTGTAAGATGCATCTTGATATCAGAAAAGTGAATTTCTGAAAACAACATATATAACACATTCAAGGACATGGGGTGGTGTTTAAGGGATGTGCTCAAGTCTACAGTTAGGAGTTGAGAATGAATGAATTCAGGAATTACTCTCTAATCACAAGACTGGAAATACTTTTTTTTTTTTTCATGAAAGGTGTATACATTATGAGTCCTTTAAGAACAGGGACTGCTTGCTTGTTAAGTCCTGTATTTGTGCCAGTGGCAGAAAGCCTGACCTGTCCTAATTCCTAGATAAATTTTGAATGAATTAAGGAAAGAAATGAATGATTGCACAAAGCGAGTGCTCTTTGAAACACTGTCCAAAAAGGCACTTTCTTCTCTACTTTTGTGTCCTTCCTCTAAGCAGACACTATTCCCATTTACAGAGAAATCAAGGCCCTGAAATTGCAAAGCAGGAATTGTTTCTCATGTGACTGAAACTCTCTGACTTTTCCAAAGCAAGCTCACCTCACCGTAAGGGCTATAGGAGGTAGAGACCCAGAGAACTGATAGCTGCTGCGGGTCAAGATGAGACCCCGTTCCCTGCCTGGGGATCTCCCATTAGTCCCCCTGCTTGTGGGCCTAGCTGGGGCACGCAGAGCCTGGTGTCTGGCCCTGGAGGCCGGGGCCAGGCCTCAGCCCGGCCCTCTGTTTCATAAGCCCACATGCCTCAGCAGGAGTGACGTGCTTACATCTCCTCCAGGGAACACAGTGTTCCTTTGCCATGGGAATGTTTATCCTGTTAAAATGGGGGAATTTTGGCTTGAGGGCAAGGGTGA